ATGCATCAAAAAGTGTCAGAAATGGGAGAAACTTATTGCCGAACTGTGTGTGGAGGGAAGAAGAGAGAGAGGGAAGCGTGGGATTGGTAAGAACTGAGATAGGTAAGGATAGTGCATAGCATCTATTCGCCTTACCTGATCAGAATGGTCTACAGCCCTATTCTTCGCAGGCCACCTTGGAGGTGTACGTCAAAATCCAGGTGGCAATTGTAGACGAGGTGGGGCGAAGAGGTGGTTTGGCCTGTTCGGACCCAAATTTCACTCGTCAACACCTTAATTTTATGTTTGTCTTGGCGTTGTTCAGCAACTGAAGTCATGCATAGGTCTACAGAGCCTTCACCCACAAGCTTGTGCTTCTCACCCTCATTTCCTCGCTCTCCGCACCCACATGGCAAATCGTCACGTAGACTTGCCTCAGGAGGCAGGCATGTCGGATGGCAGGGTAGAAGCAAATGTCAAGGCAATCGGTGTCACGTCAAACAGGCGCGCTCTTCGTGCAGAAATCTGGCAGTGGCATTGTAGCAGTTGTCGAGGCGAGTAGGTCATGTTGTGCAGTGCATAGAACGAGGCGACAGGAACGAGCTACGAAATTACGAGATCGCACATATGACGTGTCGTCAAGTTAGTCCGGTAACTGCTGAGGCTACTATGAAGTAAAGAGATAGCAAAGATGGATATGTGGCGAAAGGGGCGGTGAATGTTGGGTGGACATGTGAGTAGGTGCAGAAGTTCGGGGAGGGGAGTAGGGAATTGAGACACAGCACAGTACTTCTTGCAGTGCTTAGGGCTTGCGCTTGATACGATTGTGTCCAGAAGCAGTCAGCATCAGCATTAGCAGTTCGCTGGAGAGGCGACATGTTTTGATGCATCGTCATTGTGAATACGAGCTTCAGTGCTTGTGCATTTGCAGCCCCGAATTGGCGTGTAATCTGGATGTCTCTTTGTCTCTGACCAGACCGGTTGCTCCACAGGATACGCACTACTCTATTCTGCCACATGCCATACTGATCGATTGACTTTAGAGTGGAAGAACTGTCTCGCAAATATGTCGCAGTCGCCGATAGCCCAATCAACATTCCATCATGTCGTGTTTAACGTCGGAGGTAGGGAGTGCTTGATGTCGCTCTGGTAGGTTAAAGGTATGAGGCACATCGAGCAAGTCTCCACGCAGTGTCAATTTGAAAAGTCACGTGTATGTCCAAAAGCAGAGATCGCAGCCACACTGGCGTTAAGTCAATGCCAAGGTGGTAGCATAAACGCGCCACCGACTATCTCCTTCAGCCAACAATTGCCTATCGCAAAAATAAATGTCCCTCAAAGTTGACAGGAAAAGAATAGCTAGCAGCAGCAGTAGCAGCAGCATTTTACTGCTGTGAGCCAGGGCACGCAAGTTCATGAAAACGACAGAGCAGTGAACTGCCATTTCTTCAAGGTCTACGTAGGCAAACACGACGACGCATGTAGAATGAAGGGTGATAAAGCAATATTCGGCAGCATTGCTATAGGCACCACAGTCTTTTCAAAACCCGCGCAGGTGGAGAGGTGAGAGCTGCACAACTTTAGTCATATGCACGGGTTCTGGTTAGGCGTGGAGGACAGGCGGATCAACTAAGTTAGCTAAATTTGGACGGGTCCAAGGCATTAGAAAACCTTTCTAGTGCTTCTGCATAAACAGCTCCAAAAGGCATGTGAGCAGTGGATCAAAGACGATATTCCGTGTAACCTATGGGAATGTCGCAACGGACCGTCAAAATGTCATCTGCATTGTTTTGGCATCACTACATCAAAGCACTATGCTCACCGTTAAGGGAGTAGTCTTACACAATCTCAAGCTCTTCATCTGAAATCTCCTCCTTCTTCAATGCCTCAATTGACATCTCTTCTCCGCATCGTCGAAGCTCAATGAGGCTGTGCGGATGCGACTGTTTCCGCTTAACAGCCGAGGTGAGCATCAATGGGTTCGTGGGTCCGAACATCCCGCCCATAGACCACTGTATTGTATTGCATATAAGTGAGGAAAACGTGCTTCCCTCTTGTCGTGCCTCCAGTTTAATGTTGTGCTGCCAGGACCTCCTCCCACCTGCCATCGACTCGCGTTGTGCATGTTCTTGCTACAGGTGCAGTTGTTGTCGGTAGCAGTTATGCATGACTGGCGAACCAATTCCCTACACAATTTGCTTTTGCCTGCTTAGTCCTGCTTGATTGGGATGAAGTGACCCTTGTCAACGCCTCCCATTCAACCGACAAAGCAATCCGTCCGCGCTCCTATACACAAGAGTCGCAACGCAAATATGTACCAAGGCAGTTGTAGGGTTAACCGTGGTCAGAGAACTAATGTCGGAACGTGATGTTTTCAAAGAAAAGCATTTATCGAGAGCCTCAGTCCTTCCTCTCTCCATTCATAGCTGATAAAGTTAAAAGCTAAAGCATATTGTGGCAGCATCGTGTGACTCCTTTTTTTCTTCCTGAAGGAGGAGGCGTTAATTGAGACAGAATGTTTGTGTGAAAGGGGAGAAGGGGCGAGATTGGGCCTCGACACTGCCTCAAAGGTCATATTGCGCACAGGAGGACAAGATGTGCACCGGAGGTATCGCCAATCATGCAGACGGTCACATAGACAAAGCATTGCTGCGGCATACGTGCAACGGTAACATTGGCAAATGATGAAGAGGCTAAGGC